GGGTTTCCAACCAAAAGGAGTTTCCCATGAATTTTACCTCAAAAACTGAGCTATGCACGCTATGCAGGGTGTTGTGCCACAGTCAGAGACTTTTTTTGGAATCAACTGCAAGAGTATGGCAGCCCGGCATTTGTTCACTTGGCTTCAGGGTTCTGCGAACACAACACCCATCTTTCCAAATCCCTCCCCCCCAGCTTCAAAGTTGGACGCATCCCCGGTAATGAAGCAACATTGCATGGGGACTGAAGATTGTTGTGGCGAGGGCAGATGGGAAAAAGGTGCTTTTCCGCAGAACTCTGGAAAAAAGAGATCTCTGACTCTAATGCCTAAGCGTCCACCGACAGGTTTGGGCCAATTGTCCCATCCACATAGCGCCCCATCTAACGATGCCGAAGCTCGGCGCAGAACCACCAAGTCCTTTTGGGCAGGAGTGAGACATTCCCTCTGCCGCTCTCTCTGACTCCAAAGGAACGTGACCCTTGCCATGGCATGCAACACACACTCAACACAAGTTTTTGCATGGAGAAACTCACAAATGCAGCGATTTCGGAGAGTCTGGCCATTTTAAGTTAAACAAATTCGGGAGTTCAGTAGTATTTGGCGCCCGCGCGTGTTTGCTCTGTGCAATTCAAGGAATCGCATCGTGTTGCGTGCATGGTGTATGTGTGTTGCATCTGTGACGCATGTCAGGTGGAGAATCTCACGTTCTTTTGGAGTCAGAGAGAGGAAGAGGGTGTATTTCACCGCCACCCAAAGATTCAGCCAAACATTGTCGCTGCGCTTGGGAGTCCTATGCTTTGCTTGTTCATTATTATTTCGACATATCAGCAACGGCCTGAATTGAAAAGGCCCTTGTGCGATTTGGTAGGTGTTGCGTTCGAACCGTCCTTCTGTACGACTTATGAAAAGCGGAGTTAGTGCAGGCCTCGACTCATACCTTAATTTGTATCTTGGTAATATTAGTATTGGGGCATTCGCATTCAACTGTTTTGTGCGCCTCTTTTGATTCAGGGTAGCGGCATCAGCTATGTCTTTTCGTCTTTTCGGCATCTCCCAAACTAAAGGCAGCAGACAAGTGCTCTGCAAATGAAGAGCCATGCCATTTGTTTCCCCCGATCTGCTTGTGGAGAGCGTTTTTTTTCAGTCCAGTTTGGCCCCATGAAGTTCCCTTTTCAAGATCGATGTCTGGATGTCTAGTGTTATTGTCAAGTTTACATGGGTGCGTGTGTTGATGGTTTGGTTAAAAAAGAAACCAAAAGGAGCCAGCCTTCGGTTCCGCTCTCCATTTTGAGACATTCCCATATCGAGCTCTCATGGCATTCAGGTTGTGACCCTGCCAGAGAAGACCGCCAAGACGGTGGATGCGACAGTGACAGGCCATCGCCTCAGTGGAAGCTGGGTGCTGGCGATTTGGGTCGAACGTGCCTCAATGAGCATTTGGAACCCGCACAATGGTGGTGTTCCTGTTGAGTCCCGCTTTAAAGCCGCCCCAGGAAAGTTAAATGCAGACCCATTTGACTTGGGGAAACATGTTATGACTCCTATGGCGTCAGGTGACCGATTGTTTGCTAGGTAGGGACGGTTCAGAAAGGCAAAGCTGGTATTTTCATGTTAATTAAGGCTCCCTGGGTTAGTTTTTCGCACGATGTGGGGCGTTATTCCAATGTTTGCCACGTAGCACTCACACGAGCCAACTGGTCAAGCAGCAGACAGCATGCTGTTTGTTCGGAGGCCAACCACCGCCCGGTTTTCTGTTGGGTGACACAATCCTTGCATGATATCAGCCATCTGAAAAGCACGCCGATATCTCAGTTCTCTCGCATTTGCCTTAGTCCTTTCGTGGAACCGTTTTAGACTCCTGGGAAGATAAAGAAGGCAAGGGGTGGAAGCTGATTGTTCTTTACTCTTGTGGATGCATTCCTCTGAGATCCTTTGAACTTGCCAACAAGGGACCTGTGCCACCTGAGTTCTTCCACAGCAACATTTGGGACCCTGAGTTGATTGAGAGGAATGCGGCTTGGTGTTTGTGAGCTTGTGAACAGTCTCAGTTGGTCCTGCTGAAGCGTTTGTTGCGGGCATCGGGTGGCCCCGCGGTTTCGGTTGAGTGGGTGCCATCCTGTCAAAAAAAGGACGGCTAGATTGGCTGGATCTTCAGACTTCCCCACGGTGCCACCAAACCGACCATCCATGAGTCAGCCCGGGAAGCTAGAGGCATCAGCCGAACCGCTGAGAACCTTGTCGGGGCCTCGGGTGACCGTTTCGGCGTTTCGCAGTGGAAGAAAAAATCGGATTTGGCTCCCACAACGAGGTTTGTTCCTTTTGTCCTTCTTGGGGTTGAGGAGGAAATGCACTTGATGTGCCGACTTCTGACTTGGCTCGAGTCCTTTCCCTCTGAGGGCGCAAAGGATTATCCCTTGGAGCCGGCTTGAAATGGGACACCAAATGGCAGCAAGCCCTTTGAAGGGGTTCCCATGTTGCAAAACCATTGGGCAACAAGGAACGGTCGCAGTTGTTTTTGTTGTTTTGATGAATTCTCCAATCAGGGTGTGCAACCCTCGTACAGTCGGTAGTAGCTGACCAGCCTGACGAACATGTCTTGCATGTACTTTGACGCGGCAGCCGACTTTCGGGAGCCACTCGTTATCTTTCATTTCTTTTGCCGGTTGGATTTTTAGGGTGGGGTGAGCAACGCCACACAAGCAGAACTCGCTTGGGCGAAACTGGATACAACGAGCATCCATGAGGATTTGGCAGTGGTCCTAGGTCGCAGTTTGTTGTGCCGACTTCATTCCATGGCTCAATTGCTGACTCTGAGGTCGCCTTGCCAGGCCGTGTTCAGGCTCGGCATTCCTTCGCCAGTGATTCGATTCTTCTGCGTAGTAGGCAACTGCACTGTTGCTGGCCTGTTTTTTGGGTTCGTATTTCTTTTTGGCTCTGTTCATTTTTAGTAGGAAGCTGGAAAAAGCCAAGTTATGTTGCTACCATACCAAGGGTTGGAAAGGTAGCTAAAGGAACCACCCTTTCAAAGCCAAAAGGAAGCTGGCTACCTAGATGGTAAGGGATCCACCAACACCCCAAGCCAAAGGGACCCGTGTAGATGGCCATGTCAGCTTTGTTGAAGGCACGCTTTCCCGGGTTTGAGGCTTCAAAATGAAATGACCAGGACAACTGTTTTGGGGATCCGCTACAATAGCCATGTGTCTCATGTGATGGTCGGCCCCAGTGGGGGGTTGCCTTTTGGTTTGCCTTCAGAACCGCCACGACCCTCAAAAAAAAAGAGCATGTGGTGGCGATGTGCTGGAAGTGTATGCCCCCATTTGCTATTGGAGGCTGTGATTTGAGGATAGTGAAACGCTCCTAAACTGCTCTGGTCTTTCCTCGTCCTTGCTAAGTGTCACCTGGCATGGTTGGGAACTTGTAGCTGCGGCACATCTAGTGAGGGGCCGCTTGAACATAGGCATTGGTTTCAAGTAGCAGTGTCCCTTGGATCCACTTGAGCCCAGCTCAATTTAGGCGCATGGTTCACTCGCGGTACAACCTGAGGTGTGCCTACGAGGTGCGCCTTTGCCTATAGGAGAAAGTGACATTGCCCGAAAGATCGAAAGATGATGTCAGGCACATGGCGGACCAACCCGGCGCACACCCATGATCAAGACCCAACGGATGACGTGATTGAAGTTCAAGCATTGGGGTTGCCGGGAATTGGGGGGCCGGTTCTCCCATTTCTGTACCTGAGAACTGACTTTAGATGAGTCACTCTGCAGGTTCTCCAGGATCCCTGACTTTTGGGAGGATTGTTTATAAATCAAGATTAGCGATTGGGGCTGCTTTCCAGGCGTTCGAAGTGGATTCCATTTTCAGCGATTTCAAGAGACGAAAAACAGCTTGGGATTTTTAGGGCACCGCTTGTGGGCCTCACTTCCGAGCGAATCTCCTATGAAACTCTGCTGGTCCGGCATGGCTTCAAGAGGCCGACAGATTCAGCCTGCCTTGGCCCCAGAAAAAGGGGGATTGGGGGATATTTGGCCCAGCAGAAACCAGTTGCCGCTGGTAGCCATGGTGCTCTCCTGCAAAACCTGGTCAATAGACTCACTAGGGCCTTTTCCCTCGTTTTCTTTGGCCCCCTATGAGGTTGGCTCGGACAGGCGGGCGCCGAGAACGTGGTGGGCGGCATCTCCTCCACGGCTCGGGGCCCTTCATTCGGATTCGGCAAGCGCCCGCTCGATGGAAATTTGGGTGGGGCGGTCGCAAGTTGTGGCGGGATACATGCCATGGGAACCCTACAACAAGATCCCCTGGCTGATTTTGATTGGCGGCTCATCGCTTTGGGAGGGGAACACCCCGATTGCTAGGGGTTGTTAATCCGGTGGTTTGGAGTTGGGGGGCGGTTTTGCAAGGAGCCGAAGAAGGAGCACGCTTGCTTGCCTGCCATAAAACCTACTCGCTGACGCCGGGACGGTCACGTTCTTGCGCAAAATGGTCCCAGTTCACAAGGGGTGAGGCTTTCCCAGAAAACTGGGGGCACTCTTTGTACTCTTTGAGCCACCGCGGTAGCGAACACAGGAAATTCAATAAAGTCCCGCGAGTTTTCGTTGCACCATGTAGTGAGTCCGCACCAATTGATAATTCCTGGAGTCTGCATGACTCTTTAATAATGTTTGTATGGGACCCATAATTTGGGTTGATAGTGCCTCCATCTTTGGGTTCTGGAGACTCCAGCCAACCTCATCAAAAACACACACACACACACACCAGGGATGGCAAGGGCGCCCAGGAAGCTTGATACAACCTCCCACTGGAAACGGGCCCGCTTGTTTGACCCTTTGGGGTGCTTTCAAGTCCCGAAAAGCTCAACTTCGACTTTGAGGGAAGGAAGCCAAATGAAGGCAACCCTTAGTTGGTGGTTTAGATGGGTGCTTTGGGGATGTTAAGCCCGATTCCTTTCGACACATGGGAAAATTCCAACCAATCCAAACCATCAAGTGAGTGCCCAAAACTCCCAGTGGCCGTGTTCGTAGGCGGTTCAGAGCCGGAAGTCAATGGGTTTTGTGAAGCCTTGAGCAACTTCACTGTTGAAGACAGCATGGTCTTTGTCGAGTGATTATCACGAAGTGTCGGAGGCGATCATTCAGAGCTGCAACGCAGCACCTGTGGTGAAAGTCCTGGCAGCCATGGTAGAACGCTTAGTTCAGCAGGCACTTCACCCGGAGGGACCAGGCGGTATTTGCTGTCAAGCAAGGTCAGCCTACTGTCCAAGCCCTCGCAGCCAATGCAGTAACATTCATCTCCACTGCTGTATTTGACTCTCGGTGCCTTGAGCTATGCAAAATGATGAGACGATTGGCGATCAAAGTGCTGCGGGTGGCACTTCGTACCATGTGGGTTTCATCTATAAGGTCCCCCCTTCCACAGTTTGTAGCGAGAATCCAAAGTGCCCCAGCGCTAGCGGAACTCAGGACAATGCACCTTCTGACAGTGTTGTTGGTCTTTCTCAACATGTCCGTCGATAAGTCTGCGTTGATGCGGAACAGATCTTGCGATCTTGCAAACTGCCCAGGACCGAGCAGCTACAGGCTCACGGTGGTTATTCAGCCAGGTTTGCCCACGGCCTTCCCACCACCAAGTGGTCAGCATAAATATATCCCGCGGTGCCCAAACCCCTTGAGCCTCTTCAATTCTCTTGCCCAGGTGGATACTGTCGCCAGTGCCCCGCAGAAGGTGAAGCAGACTGCCGGGGGGCTCGCTCGATTTTCCTGGCTCGTTTTGTGACTGTGGGCAGGTTCTGGGTGTGTCTTATTCAGGGTATCAGTTTGGGAGTTGTTTTGGGGCTTAGGACCGGGCTGGGAACTAGGCAGGGCTAGGTCTGGTTGAAAAGCCACATGGAGGCAGGCTGACGTTGTCAAAAGGGCAGTGGTAGAAGACGTTTCCAAATTCAAAGGCCGAATTGCCAGACATGGCGCGGAATCGCAAGACCCACGGAGACAAGCCAGCTAGCAACGAACCTACACGAGCCGCAAGCCCAAATAAGCTGGAGAACGCTGCAAGCCTACTTGTGGGCACCTCAATTTCAGACGGCTCAACGATCCAAGAGAGCGCAGCTAGTCAATATCATGAACAAACTGCGCAGTGACGTTATGGCGCTTCGGGAATCCAAAGTTTCGTTTGACTCGCAAGAAACCAAACCAGATATTCTTCTATTTCAAGCGCAACGTACACCTTCCTCTTCAGCTCCAAGGCCCCCTGGTCCCCATCTCAAAGAAGGCAGCAAGGGGTCGGTTTTGTCATCGGCCCACGTGCGAGCAGCCGTAGTTTTATAGAAATAAAGCGCCACGGCCCAAACATACGCATTCTCACCCCGAGGAGAAAGAAAAGCACTGGGAAGCCTTGCAACCCATAGCCGAATCTCAGAGTTGTGTTCTCCTGCGAGTGATGAGTGATGATTCGGCCCTTAAGTTTCTTTCAGTATGTTCAGGATGACCTCTCATCGTAGGCCAGAGTCAACAACGTGCACAGCAGCTTGTAGCGAGCCATGGCAAACAAAAAGGAAACAACCCATATTTGTGGGGTCCGCGATTTTTTGAGAACACCCTATAGCGACGTCGCGCCAACATGGGCCAACCAGCCGGGGTGCGTCACCTCATGCGAGGGGGGGTTCCTTTCCTGTGGGGTCCCTTATTTTCCGCTGGCGAGCTTTTGGATTTGCTCACATCGGTCACATTGGTTTTCAGTTTTTCGAGAATCTCGGTTGACAGATTATGCGTTTGGCTGTTGGTTTTGCGCAGAAGAACCAAAAGGACCCCAATCTTTTTTGGGCTGGGTGTTTGAGGCGTCCACTGAGCCCCTGCGGGCATACTTGTTTGGGAGACTTAGAAAAGCTGAAAATGCAACCATGTCCGTTGAGAGAGTCAGAAACTAAGAAATGCACGCTCTTTCTTTTTTGTTTGCTACAGAGAGTCAGAAAGGCAGACCATCAAACTGGACAGTTTGCCAAGGTGGACACCGTTGCGAGTGTGCCCATGAAGGTCTCCGAGTCTGCCTCGCGCTGAGAAGCACAACGGGTACCAAGCCCTTGTGGCTCGGTCATTTCTTTCAGATTCTGAGTGACCATATGGTGTCAAAGTGGTGAATTCCAATCCCAGCTTTTCTAAAAATTGGGATCTCCTCGCACATTATGTTATGTTTGCAGTCAGTTTAGTATCCAGATTTCAGCTATCCCTTAATTTGTGGTTTGGATTGGTGGTTTGAGGATTTGAACGCCAGTTCCTTTTGAAACACGGGGAAGGTAACCCCGAACGTCCAAGCCACCAAACCACAAATTAGGGGGTAAGGTGAATATTGACAGGGGCTCACGTGAGGGTTTATCAAAAGGTCCTTTACGTGGACTGACCATTGGCGAAAACCACCAAACAGATGATGTGTCCTATTAAACAGTAAAAATTACCCATGGCCATTCGGGGATCCTCCGATTTGATCAGATCTGGCGAATGTGTTGCACCCGATTGCGTGGAGATCCGGCGGTCGGTTCAGCGCCTTCCTTGTTGACAGGTGCAGCAGACGGCCGGGGACCTGGGCTCCGTTTGCGAAATGACCCAAATCATGAGACACGCCTAGGCCGCCTAAATACTCCACGGTTGGGGCACACAAATGCCCATGGACATGATGCCCACCAGGCCTCGAATTGACATGAAGCAACGTATGGGCATGTGACTTAGAGTTGTTTCCTCTTTCTTTGGGACCGGACCCTGTAGGTTCCCGTTTATGCACGTAGCGCAGCACTACCACGGAAACCACAGCTTAAATTAGAGAACGCCTTCATTTGAACGGGAAGGCCTTGGCAGCATTTTCATATTGATGTCCAGGCTCTTGCTCACAGATACGCGGATTCCAAGAACAACAGACCCTTTAAACTGGCCACTTTTTGCTCCCATGTGGGGACCTACCAGGCAGCCAGCACTCCAGAGACTTTATGGAGACAGATGGAAGCTTGCTGGGTGATGACTTCTCTCTTGGTCTTGACTCCGTTCCAGGAGCGACATCAGGACAGCCCCCCTCCAGCAACCTGCCACCAGCCATGTGTTTGTGCACCTTTGCTTGGAATTGTTTTTTTCCAGTTCAGTGGCATGCTTAAAATGCTTGTTTGGCTTCGGCGCGCCACTGAAGTTAAGTTCCTTCCTTGGGATAGTCTGAGAAACGAATAGAACCACCCCCCCTGTTTGCTTTCTTGCATGTTTCTTTGTTCCTTTGGTTGGTTGGTTGGTTGGCCTCACTCCTCAAGAATCTTTGCATGCATTGCCAGAACTTTGCCCAGTGACGCCAATTTGTTCTTCTTCTCGATGTGGGCTTCCTTTGAAATTCCGCCAACAAAGAGCCAGTCCTTTTCAAGTAGTGTCGACCCAGTTGTTTATCGACCTGGTGGATTTATAGGAGGTGTTTTCCAAAAAGTGAAGGACCCCCCCCCGACATGGGACACCCTCCCATTGACCCTACGCATGGTTGTCAAGGTCTTCCCATTCAATAAAGGCCCCGCCAATCCCCAATAAGGCCTATTCGGTGCAAATGGGTTCCTTCTGGATGCCTTTCTTTTGGGGCTGTCCGCTGTCCCTCTGTCGGGGTGCCCCTGACAACGGGAATTGATCAAGGCTTGTTAGTCCTCGGGTCCCATCCGGAGAGTGCGAATTCCGAGGTGGACACCGTTACGAGTGTGCCCAGGAAGGTGTCTGAGTCTGCCTTGCGCTTAGAGAAGGTATTTTGCTCTCAATGAGGGCAGCTACATAGGCTGGGTTGTGCATGAGTGTGTGTGTGTGTGTGTGTTTTAATGGGTGCCCCGAAGCCATGAAACAAGCTTACTATTGTCCACCAACGAGGTTGGCTTCCAAGAAAAATCAATGGTCGCCTCTGTTTATAGTAAAGTGGTTGATGAAAGGACTCTGTGTAGCATCCGGCCATTTCGTCGAATCCATTTAGGGTCAGCAAATTGAAGGGATGTGGACCAAGTCCCAAAGGGTCAGCTGATCGCTTGCGGACAGGGAAGTTGGGTGCTGCATTTGAGAGGGTTGATCTCATTCTCAGATGGGCTTGTCTCAAACTTAGGTTTCATCTTGGCTTCGCTTTGAAACCAACACAACCAACCAAAGGGGCTTACCCTTAGACTGTTAGAGTTTTAGAGTTTGGAGGGATTAACTAGGGGATTACGCATCATGACGGTTCCTTTTGTGGGGATCCCCTATTTTTACGGCAGGTGAAGTATCATGTTTTGCCGAGATTTATTAGGTCGCAAACACGTCAACTGTTAGCCAGCAGACCACTAGGAGAAGAGACCCACGTCTCTTACTCGCCCTCTTCCCAAGGTGGAATCCGTGGCGAATTTCCCCGGGCGGGTGGTGCAGACGGTGGACGGCGTTTTCACCACAGGCCGAACACAGGGCTTGGCCCTTTGCTGTGAACAAGGCACCCCATTTGCTGGAAATGACGGGAACAAAACGACAGCACAAGACTGGAATGCCTGGCCCCTAGCCTCCACTCTTTGGCAGGGAGTCAACTGGAGTTGTCTCTGGTTTTAATGTTTCAACAGCTGGGTGTTTTGACCCTCGTGCTGTGTGGCAGGTTCCCTTCAGTGATCAAGTGAGCTGGCTTGAAACTGGCTGCTTTTTTGGGGACGAGCAAATGGGCAGGGATCATATGCGTTTTACCACAGAACAACGAGCAAACAAGCAACGGGAGGTGTGTATGCACCAGCTAGCAAAAGTTGTGTTTGTCTCGCTTGGGCAAAGCCATACGCCGGCCACCAAGTGAATTTGAGCCACCACTCTATTAAAGTTGCGCGATCACACCTTTCCCCCCGTACCAAGTGCATACTTGCTGGCACTTAGACTCGCGCTGGGACGGTCCATCCCAAACCTTATTATGTGGGGCGACCTTTACTATTCCTTATCTTTGTTGATATCTTCCCCAGTTGGGATTTTGGCCCTCATTGGATTTTGGAATGCACAATGCTGCGCAAAACATGTGTGGAGCACAGGAGGCAACCTCCGAAGCTCACAAGTTGCTCGTCCCCTGGTCACCTGTGATCTTCTCGGCTCCTGGTTTCTTTTTTGGTTGCAGGTTGGGACCGTGTGCAGTTTCCATGAATCAAAGCAACCTGAGCAGGGTTTGGTGCCTTTTGATGAGTTGGGTTTCAAGCCCCTCTCTGTAAAGAACATTCCAACCTTAGTTGCCCGTTAGAAGAGATATTGAAATTGGATTCGCTGGGCCAAACCGAGCCTTTGAAGGCAGTCTGAACATCGCTGGGCAACATGTGCTTTAACCAAACCCGAGTCAACAGTCAGCCCATGTGAGCCCCTCTTTTGTATGGGAAATCAAAGGTTGTTGAAACAACAGCTTAAACCATGGCTTAGGAGGTTGGTGCCTTTTCCTGAAAGGGAAGCCAGACGGTGTTTAGCATGGCTTCAAGGGCGTGTTGCTGAACACATCTGTGCTTTCGGGAGGTTGGCTTCCAGGCGCAGAGAGGTGCCCACCGAAAAAGGAGACTTGCTGCCAAAATGGCGATGTGAAATTTTGAGGGTTGGAACCATCCCACACATTGGTGGGCATGAATCCTGAAGTCGACCAAGGGGTCCCTATTCGAAAGTCATGCCCTGGAGGTGCTCTTTTTTGGTTGCATTTTTAGAACGGGAGACGGTTCTTTTCAGGGCTCCCCTGGTTAAAGACAGGAACTTGTATACTCCCGCCAACATGGAAAAGTGCACAGGTCCCTTTTCAGAGGTCTTTCAAAAGGGGTCGAACCTGCGCCACGTGTGGAAGGCTACATTTTGGGCGGCGTTTAAAGGGATACCAAATGGGTGTGTTCTTTGGTGAGGAGACCATTTTTTGTTAGGTTCTGAAAGAAAACCGAAAGGAAAACCACATTGGAAACACCCTTTTGCTTTCTGGGAGGTGCCCTTGTTTAGTGGCAAGCCCAAGCCGGAAGTCGCCTTCACCTGAGTGGGGCGGGGGTCAGGGCGGAACGTCTTTGGCGCTGTGACGGGCGTGCCGGCCTCGTGCGCAAGCGGGAGGGTCTGAACCAAGAACCGACAAGACATGTATCTGTTTGGGGGTCCAAATTCTATTTTGGAAACAACCATGTCAAGGAATGGCCACGGGACAACCACATGACAGCCTAGAATTTACAGGGGTATCTCGGTATATGTCAAAACATGAAGGCCCTAAGAATGATGATTTTGTCGTTGGGTTTACTTTAAAGCCACTCCAAAAGGGTACCACTGGTTAGATTTTGGCTTCCGCGACTTGATCTGATATCGCGTCGTACAAGCAGTTTATCAGCGGCCGGACAGCCGCCCAAAGCGCGGAAAAGCCACCCTCCAAGACACACACCCACATGATTCTCCCATGATGAGATGGTCCAAGATTAGCCCACAACCCCAGCATTCTTCAGGCCCCAAGGATGCTCACGGCGAGGAAGCAGGGCACATTCTGCATGGCGAGCGATTGCACTGATTTGGATCCCTTAGGTTTGGCAGTTTGTTGGCCCTGGCGTCAAGCGCCCGAACTCCTTAAGCACGGCTCACCGTGTCACGCGGAAGCTTACCGAAAGGAACGGGATCCCCGGGGATCCCGGTATTCAGGTGTTGGAAAAAGTGTAGCTTTGCCGATCCAATGTCACGCGTCATGGGTTTCGCCGCCCTCCCCCCCTGGTTCTTTCTGGCTTAGTTCCTCAAATGCTGGCCTTCTCTGGCTTAAGAGGAATGATTGTGAGCCTTCCAGTATATGTCGACCTGCAATGGGTTTTACGGATTTTATGTTTGATTCGCTAATCATGGGTATTACTCTGAGCATGCCATCTTGAATCTCAAACCGGATTAGCAAACTTGTGTTGATATGCCCCCGAGCTTTTCGAGTTTCCTCTCAAATGGCGCAGCGTGCTTCATCAGCCAGTTCAGAAGAGCAGTAACAACTTGTGGTTTCCGAGAGGATTCACCAGTAGACTGGTTTGCCTTCTAAGGACAGCTTCGACCGAATCCTTTTCTTTACAGGCAATTGGTTGGCCACTGGCCCCTAAGGGCAACATGGGAACCAAACCGGGACCAACTGAAGTTGCCTCCACTTGACGCAGTCACAACCCAGTCTCTGGCCGTAGCATGGTTTTTGTTGTAAAAAGGGAGCACCAACACTCATGCTTGGCCACCAAAGTCCAGAAGCATACGTCAAGGTGCAGAAGTAGTAGCAATCTGTTTGCATACTTATAAAGAAGGCAGTGTGTGGGACCAGGCTCGAACTGATTGCTACTCACCATGATATAGTAGATAACCAGCCATGTTCCCTTTGGATTGTTTATGAATCATGCCAACCTTTCTCATTCAAACAACGCTGATCCAAACAGACTTTGAGTATTGTGATTCAGCTAATAAGGGCGCCTCCAGAGAAACTGGGAAATGCGCCCACATTCTTCTACCAGCCCCCTATGGTGCCCAAGTGGTACCTAAAGTCCCCACATCTGTTCCACAGGACTGGTTCAGAAGGGAATCCCTCCCATGCAAGCCGCGGAGCCCAAAAGGAAAGCGCCGTTGCGAAGCGGGTCACTTTCCATCGAATGGTACACTCCACTGCGAAATGAGGCTGTCTCCTTCCTGGCTGGCGGCGTGTCAGTGGAGGCCTCAGGAAAAAAATAGTCGGCCTAACAACCGACTGCCCGGTGGTATCATCCCTTCTGCTTTGCTTGTCCCCCGGAAAGGGGGGTTCCCTTTTTGGTAGTCCCCCTGTTTGGATCTGTTTGGGTGGTGTTGCTCAACCAAGCCGAAGAAAAGGAGGACTGTGCGTTTCTATGATTTTCCTGCGCAAAGCAAGAAAAGCGGTTGGCAGTTCTCCCTTTGGCCACTGCCCAGATGTTGAAAGCGGAGAAGGGGGTGGGAACCATCTAAGCAGCGCCCAAAACCCAGTTTGCAATTTTCTTAGGTGGTTCTACTACCTGTGTTCAAGGCCCATATAAACCTTCATAACCATGCTCGGTTTTGGGGCGCTGCGTCACCATTACAGTTTCCTGCCCCCGAAGCATGTTACCATGCAACTCGGAATGGGCGAATAATCCAAGGTACGATCTGGATGCGGGCGCATTTGTGGATCTACCCCTGGCGCAGTACGGTAGGAAAGAAATACAAGCAAAGCAGAAACAGTGAAACTTGAAGAGAAAAGCACAATAACTGCATCCAGTGGCAAGCACGAAGTTTGTTTTGCCGGATCCACTCGATCGGAAGAACTGAGTTACTTGTTTTTGTCCATCGACATGTCCAGGTTCTAGGCTGGATGACGGAGAATAAATTCAGCCACCAGAGGCAATCCCCGAAAATCTACCTCCTCCATTTAGAATATCCTCGAGACGGGTAGATAGAGTATCCCTCAGGAACCACACATCAAGGGCTGTTCAGAGGTCCTTCCTCCTTACCTTCAATTCCGAAAGGATTGATTAGGGATTGGCTAACTCTCCAGGTTGAACAGCTCAGACCTTTTTGTGTGTACTCTGCCCACTGGGCCCAATCTGTGCCCCAAGGCTGTGGCCTCCGCCGTCGGCTCGCTCGCCTCGGCGCTTCCCAAGCCGAGCATGCCGAGCATGCCGGCGCCCGAGCCGAAAGCGGCACCGGAGCCAGCGAAGGACCCGCGAGCGGTGCTTCTTTCCTTTAAGACGGCTGTGCCGCCAGCAAAAACCCAGTGCTGGGATTGGTTTCATGAGCAACGGTCAATATTTACCATCATCTCTCCTGTAGTACGGGTGGTGACAACTTGGAATACTCACCATCCCATGCCAGTTGGGGGCACAGTCAACATGGACCATGAGACGGGAACCGCTGGATGCCCAACAGGGCGTACCATGGCGTACCCGTTGGGACCAGTTGCGATGTATTTGTTCATTTCCAGGAGAACACTGAATCTAAGGGACTTTGACCCCGAAATACCTCCAGCTGTTTATCTGGTGTTTGGGCAAGTTTTTCGGGATCGGAGCTCGCTAAAACCACAAAGACCGATATCGAAGCACCAAAGGACCAAAGACCGATAGTCTGTTCGCATGGCATAAGGTGTTTCTCACAAGGTGCTGAGCCAAACCCACTGGAATTCCCCACCTAGCATAGGAGAAGCCGCCAAGCTCCGTGCAGTTCGAGGCACGTGGCCGTCCGTTGGCGCCAAAGATGTTCCTCTCTCTTTTCTTGCTTTTTGTTTGTCTTTTTGTTTCTTTTCTTTTTTTCCGCCGGCGGGGTACTGTAGTTTCGTTTTGTCTCTTTGGGAAATGGAGGGGGTTTCCTCGGATTAGCCTTGTCCTGCTGATTCCTCGGAGGCGGCTCCGTTGACCCCACAAACTTCCGCAGAATTCGTGCTCCATTCTTTTCTGCCGGCTCCGTTCTTTTCCACAGCCGGCTGCTCAGGTTTGGGGTGGTCTTGCGAAAAGAAGGATCCCTGAGCAGCTTTGATCCGTTTGGGCGGGCTGATGTTTGAACGGGCATGTAAGGAACCGTGCCATGAGGCCCAGGCCAACTATGGTCTATTGTAGGACACTTGAAGTTGCAGTTGACACACATTGAACCTTGGAGAGGATGGGACCCGCTGAAAGCAATCAAATAGCAAACGCTTAGCTGGGATCCTAGCCACACAAAAGCCTGGACAATTTGTGGCTAGGGAGAAAGATATCAGGGCTAAGAAAGGCATGTTGTTGTTTTTTTTCTTTTTTTCTTCTTTTTTTTCCCGGGACTAGGACAACGGCTGTAGAGAGGATGTTTAGAGAAAGAAAGGGACCAACCTTTTTAAGGGTTTCTACACTTGCCGGAGGTCCCTTGATTCCCTCGGAAAGAGCCAACAAGCACGCCCCTTGTGAGTCAGAAGAATGAGAGCGCCCTTTGTCTTACCAGCTTTTATGTAAAGTGAAGAGCCCCTCATGTTGATATACAGCGTTGCAGCCATGCTGGCGTTGTTCCGAATGAAGTCAGAATTGCTCCGCAAAACTTGCCACTCTGCTGCTCAACACGAGCACGCGCAGTGCAGCGCAAAGAGAGCACATAACCACCATTAAAAAAAGAAAAATAAACACAAAGTGAGCAAGCGCACACATGCACGCACCACACATCCACAGCACAGCATGAAGCCCCCCGTGTTTGCAGACCAAAGATTGCTGCAAGGTTTTGCAATACAAGCTATCTTCAAGCACTGCCTTGCACCTTCCATGTTTCAAAGCCTCGCATATTCATTGCCAGACTTCAGCAACATTTTGTCTGCTTGCACTTTTGGGTTGCAAGGAAACAAAGGACGGGATCGCCATTTGGCGACAACTTCCATTGGTTGGATGGCAGTTGTTCTATGAAGAAGGTGACCGCTACCCCCAAAGCCACTGCCCTCACGCGGAATATGGTACAACTTTATAAGTACATATATATATATATATATATATGATATCAGGTTTAGTGGTGCTGTACATATATAGATACATATATATATATATATATTCATACACATTCACATACACCCTCATTTCAATGCGGGGCAGCGGACTTGCAGGCAGAGCTGAGGAAACAGATCAAGAAGGACAAGGAGGCGGCGAAGTAGAGTCAAAGCCGCGCCTTGGATTTCAACCGTGGCTGCCAAAGCTTGGCGTTACCCGGGGTTTCAAAAACCTGAGGTTTTCCGTGAAAAGGATCGATTTTGTTTCTGGGTATGACTTTTGTTACAGGCTTTGAAGCTTGTTTCAATGGATCAGCCAATTCCTGTTAAACAATGATCATAACCCATATAGAGCTTTGATGGCACAATGTGATCTCGAAAAGTCAAACCCCCCGCGACCCTGCTGGAACGGCTGCCAAAAGCGCAAATTGGTCGCTGGATGCACGTCTACCTGTTTTCGCCGCTTTCGACTCAAGCGCGCACAACCTAAATTGCGTCCGGGGACATCTTGGGACCTAAAGTGGAGTTTACTTGCAGCCCATTGAACCAGATGGAGTGGGCAAGTTGAGTCATGGAGCCGCTTCACACTGAGGTCCACGCCTGAGATGAGGTTTGCGGGACCGAGAGAAGGAACCAGTGTTTCTGCCATGCGGTTCTTTCAAAGTATGTTAGTGTTTGTATTTATCATATTTGAATGGTACTGCGAAGGCTTTGTGCAAGTAGCTTTCCTCGATTTACAAGTAGCGTAGCAGCCGCTGTTCGAAGACTGTTGGCAGATGTCTTTCATGGGTGTGTGTGTGTCAAAATAGCGGGACCTACAAGAATGGAAGCATTCCTGTTGGTTCCCCTTTGACACCGCCTAAATAGGATAAAAAAAAAACTCATCATGGAAACCCGAGTTGTTTTTTGCTTTGTAGATGTTGCTTTGCAAAGCCATTGTGCTTTGCTGGATCCCCTTCTCGGTCCGGTGAGCGCGAGCGACCGAGCACGACAGACTGATGATGTGCATTGGTAAAAGGGCACCTTTGCTGAGGTCTCCCAAGAACACATTGTTATATTGTAGGAATATGAAGCACAATCTGAAGTGCGTGTTTTTAGAGTCCCCATGTGGGCTTGGGGCTGGGTAGTCACGAAACAGATCAGGAATTTAGGCACGCCTCAGATTCCCAGCAAGCCATGACCAGTCTGGACCTGGGCACCAGAGTGGTTGGAACATAGGCTTCCTTCTGATCGGTTAGTTTGGTGAGAAATAGATGGGTTCCCCTGTTTGTCGCCCATATGGGTGGGTGGGCATCTGTTTCCCCATTGGCAAGAATCACGCCTGGTTGTGAGTGTCAATGGGCACCTTTGCTTGGTGGTCTCTTTGTTCGAGGGCGCCTTTGAGGCCATCCTAAGGAAAGCTTCCTCTTCTTGTTTTTTTGGGGGGGTGGCGGTCGTCCAATTGGAGACAATCCCAACTCTCAGTTGTTTAGTGCCATGTGCTCAAATTCCCAAGCGGATCGACCTGCAGTGACCAAAGGTGCTTGTCCAAGTTGCCCTTTTAGCCACGGTGCCAGAAGGTTTTTCATTGTTTAGTCGTGGTGCCATTTTTTAGTCATGGTGTTTGCAGGTCCGTTGGGGAAGTGAGAGTTGATTCCTTTAAGTTCGACAACGAGGTGCCCTTGTTTTTTCTCCAGGCACCTCAGAAAGCTGTCTTGCTGTGCTTGCGTCATGTCGACAAACAACTTTCGGTCGGCACGGAACCGACGATTTTCGAACTTTGGTCGGCGCCTCCAAACGAGTGGGGCACCGACAAAGGAGCGCAAGAGCGAGTTTGGGGTACGGGCCATTGAGTCATGACCAGGCAGCCTTTGGAGGTTGTTGATTCAAGTTAGGGAGTTATCATAGGTGTCAGTAGATATGGGGTCAATGCAACATAGGCATCAGCATTGTGGTGTTGTGTGTTTGTGACAGCTGACACGTCCCAGAAGGCACACTGACGGACACACGCCACCATCTAAGATGTCTACTATCCGGTCAAAGAAGGATGCTGCCACTACCTCAGGCTTAACATAGTGTACGAGCTGCGGCCAACCCCCCCCTCTGTTTGCTTTAGCTAGTGGTAGGTGCCGCTAGTCTAGCTGATAAACATTTGTGAGTGGTCTCACTCTATCAACATTGAAAGCCATCCTGGTGAATGGGCTTTGCTCACGGCGGAACGACCATAGGGGTCCAAACCACTCCCCACTCACCAACAAAGGTTGATTTGCTGAGCTCAAACGACAGATCAGGTCAAGTTTGGGCAAGCCGCGTTCGGCACATCCCCCCCCTCCATAGAAGGCGTCAACAGCAGTCAACCCATAGGCTTGATGCCTCAATTTCTTTGACCGGGTCATTTTTAGCAAACGCGTGCTGCCAAAGCTTGATTACTTTTCTGGCTGGGCATAGCCAGGCACCCATCATTTGTTTCTTGTTCATTGGGATAATCAGGAAGGCTCCTGAAAGGACCCAGTTTCTCTTCTCATTCACGAATCCAATCGTTTATCGGGCAAGACGTGGCGACCCCCCCAATTCGCCGCCGACAGGCGCAGCTTTTTAGGTGAGGATCTCGGTCTCTCGCATGGTTGTCTTTATTTGAGGCTTAATACCACACTATTGGGATTCCACATCCTATTTTGAGACACGCAAATGTAATGTCTTACGAGGCAGTAAGCCCGCTACCTCCGAACTCGGCCATCCTGCTTCAGCGTCGTTGCAATCCTTTAACTATGCTTTTCGCAGTTTGCCGGACCATCAAGCGAGAAGATCGAGCCTCATGCCGCCTGGCAACGATTGCCCGCAAGCATTGCCCCAAGTAGGCCGATTTTCCATCAAGTCGCGAGCGCCTGCACAGAGTGAAGAGATGCGTAGAAGAGTCAATCACGAGTGAGAGGTATGCATCCTCCCAGTGAATTATTGTTGATCATTTCGTCAAATATAGTTCCCCTTTCCGGACGCCCGCAAGGCTGAACAATCAGAATGCATGGCCGAAGAAACCCGGTGCAAAATCCGGCATGTGCAGGACGCGAATGGCTTGCGCTGATTGCTTATGCACCCGAGCCAACCTTTCGTGACAAAATGTCGAAGATGGGTCCTGAGGGAAGGAAGGCATGCATATGGAAGATGTGCCCAAAAACCATATTTGGGTCGGACGTTTTTGTGGGGAGTTGCTACCTTCTTGTTGGGATTGGTTTAATTCAAAAGAAAGCCGAAAGGAAAACCAAATCCATTTTTTGGGGACACCCATATTGGCCAGGCTGCGACCAAAAGTCCATGGTGTTTGATCGCTGGGTTGTTTCTCTTGAAGCCTGCTGCCAGGCAAGGAGCAAGTTGGCAGGTTGCTTTTTTTCTGTCATTCGTTTGGGAGTCCGTTCGCCGAAGACACCAAACATGTCGAACTTTGCGAATCGATCTTGCGGCCTTTTTGTTTTATCGTTGCATAGCAGAATATCGAAAAGGCCAACCTTTTGGTATTGTTTCCTTCTGGTGAGAAAAAGCATGGCATGATATTCCTCGGATTTGCTTGGATTGCGCTCCTTTCAAACCGTGGGCGGCTGCTAGCATGAGGTGTTCAGCTCGGGCTTGTATACTGCGAGTTTGGGCGGCTTGGCCAGTCATGTCTGTTTGGAGTGCGCTTAGCGCTTACACTTCATTCCACGGACACAGCACCTGTATACCAAGAAGATCTTGTTTCTCTTTAAGACCCGCTGTAAGGAGGACCTGCGCTTATGGGATGGCATGCGCCGTTCGAGAGATTGGTCAAAAAGAATACATTCTGTTATGCGTCTGTGTGTTTGTTTTGGGGTACCCTCCCAAGAAGAAACCATGTTTTGTGTGTCCCCCTATTTTGATACATACCTGTTTCGGGGTCGTTGTTGATTCTCACATTCAGTCGAAGCGAATCGGCCTTTGACCGCTGGGCAATTCCGGTTGGCTAATGTGTTATTCACGTTCCGAAATAGTTCACCTTTGCTTCACTGCTCTTGGCATGGTTGTTTGTGTTGCTCTTGTTTTTGGTTCTGTTCATTTATAAAAAACCAATGTGTTTTGCTCACATGCCAAGGATCGGACAGTTTGTCTCTGATCTTGTGGACCCCCCGTAGACCTTGGACTTTGCCATGTCTCTCCACTCACAGTCAGCCATTTGTTCGGCAGATGTGGTTTGCCTAAATTCAGTGCTGGGGCATCCAACACGCGCGGCGCCAGCAAAGAGATCGAGTTGCCGGAGGATCACTGGCTATGATTTTGAATGGGTTCTGGACCCTTCGGTGGACATCATGGTGCGGGCTTTATGCCCACCCACTTTCAATTGAGTTCCCATTTCAGATTGATTGCCACATATTCCCAGGAACCAGGAAGGGATCCTTGTAATTTACCGTGATTTCTGATTGAATTAGTTGTCCTCAGCTTTTGGGTGATTCCACCCAAACATGGAAGCCGCCCTTGTAATTGCTTGCAGCGTGTTTGGTTTACTTCTTTCCTCTAAGGAGCCAGCTACAGACAGTTTTACCGGCAAATTGTCCTGCATTCTGTACAGGCTTCTGTTGTGGGTTCCTTGATCTTCTTACCGATTTGTCGGTCGAGCTCACCTCAAGTTGGCCAATCGATCCCGACGCGACACGCGTTGCGAGGCAAGCCGATAGCACGCATGCTGATGGTGAGTTGAGAGCAATCAATCAGCCCATTTAAAAAAGAAACACGTTTGTGAGTGAGTTAAGCCGTTTGTTGGTGCTAGGGGTGAGTAAAGCCCGGCTTCTGAGCGCTAAGAGCTCTTTACGACATGGCTAAGATGTCAAGCAGGTTAACAACATATGTTTGGCTCCATGCCATGATTGAACTTGCAAAGCTATGGGTCTGTGCCGCAAGAATGGCGCTCCGAGGCTTCTCCTGAAGGGGTTGATGGTGAGCTGCCTTCAAAGGTTGTTTTTTTCTTGTAGGACATGTCGATAAACAAACATCAATCAACATGGAAGTCCATGGAAACCGTCTTCACTGAACAACCATCTGCGGGAACTTGCAAGAGATATCATGTTTCTACATATGGTGCTTCAAGCAAAAAACACAACAAAGACGCATACTTTGCCCGACTCCCATTACGCCCTTGTTTCAAGAATCCCGCGCGCGCTTTGGCGCGGCATGGCCACTTCGGAGCTGCTGGGCGCCTTGACCAGGCCAGACGAGACGCGGAAAATGGCGAAAGACATGCGTTGCTTCCAATGAACGTGAAACCTGACGTTTCGGGGGGTCCCTTTAAAAGGCAAATGGTAGGACACCGAATCCTCAGGTTCCGTGTTAATTGGTGGGAGGGTACCCTGGTACCAACAAGCCATGGAAGTGGGCAGTAGTCTTACCCTCCAAAACCCGCAGCCTCTATGATTGAGGGAGCATGCCAATTTTGGAGGGCGGATCGCAAATGAGCAGACGGTCATCTATTTTGCCACAAAGCAGGCGAGCAAACGAGGTTTAACGAAAAGTGTTCATGCACCAGCCAGGTGAATGTCGACCCTGATTAATCAACCCCCGCTTATTGATAAGGGGGTGCCTGTTTAGCGTTCTTCCAGGAGATGCCCCCAAATTAATAACTGGTGGGGAGGGGTTTATTAGTTTGGGTCGACATGGGTGGTTTTGAAGTGCACAGCTACCCTAATAACTCTGCAGCTCATAATATTGCGGCCGAATAGAGCCGAAAGAGGTGCCTAATAGTTGCCTTGGATAGTTTGACGTCGAGCCGGGGAAGTTGTATTGCCCCCCCTATTTTGGCGACAACGGACGAAATTCCAAGGGCAACTAGCTACTATGGATTTGGGGGTGTCTCGTTATTTCCGATGAGGCCGTCTTTAAGGGCAACACTGCAAACAGCCACCTCAAAAAGTGTGAACCAACCACCAAGCAATCCAACAGCGACAGCTGTCGGGTCTAAGCGCCGACCCTGATGTCGGGGCGGCTTTGACGTTGCGAGTTCCGGTTGCACGTTGCGGGCGAGCCAAAGTTGGGCGATATTAAGGGATCCTTTAGGCGTTTTGGCGAGGGAACGCACCGGAACAAGGGATGGGCCCTATGGAATAGACCAACCCGACAAGGTGCCCTCCCACCCACGCTGCCATGGAATCTGATAGGCTTTTCAGAGGACATTTTGCCTAACGTTCTCTTAGATTCCATGCGGGGAATGAGAGGGAGGATACTAATTTCAGGAAGTTCAGAATGGAGGCTATGGAAGCACCTAGGTCAGCTGAGCACCTTCAGCTTGCCTCGCATACCACATTCTGAGACCTGATTTCCTCTGAAACGCCTTCTGTCAGATTCCAACGTGGGTCGGTGCGGATATCCTCCCTTTTGATTACCCACAAAAGTGAAGCATTCCCACAAAAGAGAAGCATTCCGCCCCTGCTCAACCATGGTTTATTAATCCGGGTTACTGTTGGTTTTCATGTTTGCTCAGTACGAACCGCCGGAAGGCCTACGGCTTCCAGTCTTGACATTCCATCTCTCTTGGCCGTTCAAAGGCTTAATCATTCCCATGGGTTGGCGGACGGATCGGTCCCTTGGTTACTTTTGTTCCGGACAGCTATGGGGTCTCGCGCTCGCTTTTGTTGTGGCGGCCGAAGGTTCCTGGAATCGGAACTAGACTCGGCAAAGGAGCCACCCTAGAAACACGTCGGCACAAGGGCCCACTTCGACACAAAGACTTCGACACAAAGGCTTGCCTAACGAATTTGGGTCATGCCTCCCAAACCCCGTAGTTGAAATCCCTGTGGTTCAACAGGGTTGGATAGTTGGTTCACATTTCGCTCCTAAAAGTCCATACCACACGGCGGCATCTCCAGGCGGAAGGAGCTTGCGGAAACGCAGGGCTCCGTGTTCGAGGCGCGGAGGGGAGAGGGTCGCTCTCACTGCAGGTTCCATGTGGGTTCTTGAAATAGGATGTGGACTCCCCCAAATGGGAGCAAGCATTTCCGTTCGGTTTCCCGAGAAAAAAAACATGCCAAAAATGGGTGGCCTCAACAAAACGACATGCCCATGCGAGTTTTCAGGGGGGAAGGACATTTGCTCGCTCAGCTTTCAGATTCCATAGAGTTTCTTTGCGGGCCGCGCACGTTACTTTTTTGAGAGGGACCACCTCAAAATGGTCGGTAGGAATTCATGAATTCCCACCTAAATCATGTCCAAGGGTCCGGGACCCATGAAAATTCACACTTAGTATGGAGTTTCGAGAGATTAATGACATACAAACAACTCAACTTTTAGCAAGGGATCAAGGAACCACTGAGGTGAATCAATAGCAACAGGGGTGTTCTCCTAAAAAGTGAAGGATTCCCTCTGAACTTTTTGAGGAGACCGTTTTTGTGGAGAACACAGGATTTGTCACCTCACAGTTTGTCGACTTCAAACGTTTTTGGGAGACCATTTGAAATGGGGCATCCAGATAAATCCTGCCCTCCCTTCCCTCCCTTCCCTCCCTTCCCTTCCCTTCCCTCCCTCCCTCCCTCCCTCAGGGCGCCTGAGAGAGGTCCTTTTTGGAGGAAATTGACCCTCCAGGGACCTCCCACATATGAAACGTCTTTGGATTTGCAGACCCTTGCCCTCCCATACCTCTGGGGTGTAAAGAAGTGATTGGTGACCAGAATAGCAAGAGGCTATGAAGAAATGCAGTGGATGAATCCACGGAAATTGTCGGACATCTGGATGAGCCACCTACCAAGTGGTGCAAAGTGGATTTCCATCCGCAGCATGTTGAAGCTCAAGAAAGATGGAAGTGCACAGACCCTCATTGAAAATTTCCATTGACCCTCACACCTGGTATGGACGGCAGCTCAGAGAGCCGATTGCAAACCCGCATTTTGCAGGTTGTTTCTTAAACGCCACACCTCCCCGCGTCCCTGATCGATGTTTCGAGATACATCAGTCAAACACGGTAACAACAAGTAGAGAGACAACTTTGAATGAGTTGAGTTTCCAGTCAAGCCTGCCAAAAGGAGCTCGGGACCCTTGCAAACTTGGAACTCGTGCACAACTAGTTAGTCTCTCTTTGAGCCGTCAAACGTAAAGGCTCGAGCTTGTTTTGATCCGGATGGGAATTCGAGGTCTCCTTGACATGGGCCGAGTCCTAGCTAATGGCAGTGAATCCAAGGAAGCAGTTGCCCCTGTCCTATCTAGGGGGCAAGACCACAGGATGGGTTCATTGACAGCCAATTTCACATGTCCGAGATCTGTCCCGCTTTTGGCGATTTGGGTAGGGCGATCATTCCCACAGACTGTTGAGCCCATCTATCAGAATCTTAGCATTCTTATCAGAAGGCTTAGAAGTATTCGCTTGCACTTCTGAACTGCAGCAATACAATACATGCACGCCGATTTTGCTGATAATTTTTGGGGGACCCTCTTGGTCGGTTCCATGTTGGTTTTCAGGGTCTCAGATATCAGTGGGCACGCGGTTGGAGCAGAACCCCTGATTTTGATTGGGGGGTGTTCAATTCCCTTTTGTGGGGATTCGCCACTTTTGGAGGGAACACGCCCCGATTAATCATATGGCGGGGTTATTAATCCGGGGTCACCATTAAAAGCCAAGGGCTCTTGCAATTGTCCACGGAGTATTGCTTGTTGACTCGAAGCACGGCACTGCTGGGTGCTAAGTAGCCGACATGTTCTAGATTTAGGAAGCCCAACGGGGATGGGTATGATTTTCTTCGTTTGGATTTTTCCAGATCCCCTGTTTAGCATGTCTGGTCAGTTTCGGGTCAAACTCGGCCACCCTCCCGATGCTCTCAAGGCTTCTCCTCAAACCTCGGCCGCGGATGTGGCATGGGCCAGCATCCAAGAGAGGTCGGTGGTGCCTTTTGTTTGTCCTTGTGTTGGAGGGTTTGTCCCTTTTGCCGGCAAGAAGAGTACCCCGTCATGGCCACGTCTTCCCACAAATGAAACCCAGAGGACCGCTCCGATTATTTTGGGAACCGCGCAAGTGGACATGAATCCGCACCATGTCCATCAATGAGTCTGTGACCCATCAAAAATCACACCCGTCGTGGTGTCTGGTTTCATGCTGCGCTGAGCTTATGGTCTGCCAAAGTATTTTGTGAGGCTAAGCCTATGACTCACCAAGGGGTCAGGTTTACGGTACCAACCCCCTGAACCATCTAAACTCACTTCCTGTGGTCATGGACTTTCCTTCGAACACCTTCTAACAGGGTATGTGTCAAGCCAAGGTGACAAGCAGGCACCCAAAAGAGCGTTCCCTTTTTGGGGGTATCTTTCTTTGAGGGTACCATTTGTTGGGGTGCTTTTTGGGAAAACAAACCGCGCCCAGTTTGGGGGGTCGAATTTGAGACACTTTCCATCCCACTCAAACCACCTAAACCCATCGTAACCCTACCTATCTTTGAGCAACACCCAGGTCCAAGGCCAACTTTTGGGGAATTTCCAAGGACCAGCGCCACGCCTCTCAGTTCACACCGCGGGGGCAGCACAGATTGCAGGGCGCCCGAGTTGGGGGCAGCAAGTGGCACAGGGTTCCCTATATATATATATATATATTGTAGCCGGAAAGGGTGCCCTCCAAAAAAGACACCCATGGCTATGAATTCTAAGAGTTGGAACCAGCTCAAAAATGTTTGGTGGATATGAATCCCAACCTAAACTATACCCACCAAAGGGCGGAGGGAAGTTTATGGGGTCACCGTTTGGTACCATCTTATTTGTTGGCCCTTGACTGAAATGATGACCAAAGAACCGATTTAAATCCTATAGGTCTAGTGTTGAACGTTGACCAATCCCCAATTGACATTAATTTGCTTAGGTCAAAGTTGGGTGGCTTGACTTGACATCCTGAACTTACAACAGGTAGCAATCAACAGGGAACTATCTCGTATCGTCGTATCCCTTAGCTGGTCGCTTGGATTGGTGGCTTGAGTGTCCCTCAGTTGAGGTTGGCTTTTAGCCGTCAGGGGTCAGTTCTCGTTGCAGTTCAGCGTGTGGCTTTGTGCTGCCTTTCCGGGCGATGCAGATTGCAGTCCTGGACATTGGCGTTTGTATCTGTGCTACACGCCACATTAATTAATAGTAAGGGGGCAATACACGTTGTTTTTCTGGTTGTATCACGGACAGTGGTTTGGCGAAAGCCGATCTTTTGCCCATGACGGGAGCAAGCTGGTCTGGAACCTGCGCTTCCTGGAGTTGTTTTCAGGTCTGAGATGTGGGTCTTCCTTCTCACGTGTGGCGCTGGGCCTCCGCCATTGTTTGTATCCTCCAGTCTTGCCCTGAGCCGTCTCTGGCTAGCTATTTTAAAGTGTGAGTGTAATTTGAGTGAGCGAGGGGAAGAATATGTAAGTTGAGGGAGTGCGAGTGAGACTGTTTGAAAGTCAGTGGGTGTAAGTTGAGTGAGTGAGAATCAGTATGTGTAAGTTGCTGAGTGTAAGTTCAGAGCCGAGAGTAAGTACGTATGTGTGCCACGCAAAGCAACAAACGCGTGTAGCCACGCAAGCATCAGAACGTTACAGACTAAAGCACGCAGCCTGCCACGAAATCCAGCCACAGGGTGCCCAAAGTGCTGCACCTGCCACGAAACGAGCCCATAAAATGACCAAACAACCCCTCTAAATTTGAACATTTTTGGGAAATGCTTTTTGCACATGGCTTTCGCCATCTTATGGGTATGGGGGGGGGGGGTCATTGTTGGGATGCAGAAACGATCGATGTGATAGAACTGATTCATAAAGAGGCAGATAATTGGTTGGTTTAGGTCACACCAGTTTTGGAACTGGTTCCATGTTTGAAAGACATGCTTCTTCTTGGGGCCAGCATCAGTCCAAAGTACGTAGACTGCCACGAGATCCACGCAGAGTGCCCAAAGTGCTGCAGCCCACAGCCGACCACCCCGAACCACCCAGTCCAAAGTACGCAGCTTTCCATGAAATCCAGCCGCAGCGTGGCCAAAGTGCGGGAGGGACCTTTTGCAGAACTGGTTGAATCTGATTGGGGAGAATCTGCTAGTAGCATTAGTAGGATGGACTCCAATTATTACAGAGGGTTGCCCGACTCGCTATTCCCAGGACCCAGGGAGCCAAATTCATTCAAAGGCCACCCACAATTTCTCCGTGTGTCAAAGGAAATTAATGCATTCCTCGGCGCTTCCTGGCCAGAGATACCTTCAAGACTGTAGAGAGAGACAGAGCTTTCAAAATCATATGTGACATGACCATCCCCCCAAAGTATGAATTATAAACAACGGATCAACAAATCACGGAGTTCCACATCCGCCACGTTTTTCTTTTTACATACCCATCATAGGTCAAAGGAGGTTCCTGGCTGTCGAGGTTCCATTTTGACCTGCAGAGGTGGGATCCGAATGACTTTCCATGAGGGACTCGCGTGGATTTCGCCCGATCCGGACGAGGCCGGTGGGCAGACTGCCGGCGGAGGCTGCTTGCATCTAGCGGGTGCTTGTGGGAGTGCGGCCGTGGTTACTGGGGTCTCTTCCGAAACTATTTTATTCAGGTAGCCCTGAATTGGTGGTTTGGGGTTCGCCATTGGTTTGATTGTAGAGGGGAGATGGGAACCCCGCTAACCTCCAAACCCCAGTCTAACCCCCCCCCTCAATTCGAGAGAACATGTTTTATTACATGTTAGAGTAGGCTAATAATCTGTTAGTTGAGGTGACAACCGGTTCAGCACCGTGTGTAGAAAAGCTCACAAGCGGGAGGCAATGTGTTGGCTTGCAAAGGGAAGCACTTTGACTGCTTGCTCCTTGCGCAACTGAGGCCCGTTTGACATCCTCTTCTTTTTGGGCCTCGGAAAGTCTTCGTGCTGTAGGCCAAACTCCTCCCCAGCAAGGGAGTCGGCAGAAGAGCCCCGCAGTTCCCCACTAGAAATGACAGAGTTCCCAACTTGTCCCTTGTTTGTGAATTTGAGCTCTACCTTTTCGGAGGGCAACTCTGAAGAAGGAAATATAGGGAACCCGTTTTGGGCAGTTCAATTGCAAGGGCCTTCACTGAATGGTAAGCCAGCCCGGCGACCCGTCAGTTTCCGGGTGTTCAACTTTGGCGTACATTGGTTGGCAGGGTTTTGTTGTTTGATGACCCAAGGGATGGACTGAAACCCAAGGCGTTCCCTTTTGCAAATAATCAGCCACCAGCAACCAATGGGTTAGTTTCTATTGTAAACTCTTCTCGCTGCCCGCCTCGGCCAGGGGCGATTCGATTTAGAGCTTTCTTTTGTTTCCATGCTAACTCCAGGGGCCGTTTACGCTAAAAGGGAACTGAGAAGGGGTTTTTCCAACATCATTTTTGAGCAACCCCGCCCCTGTTTTTTTTGGCAGAGAGAATCCCGGCCCTCCCCTATTTGGGCGGGTCTTTTTGTTAGGGTGCACGTTTTTGGGTGGCGCAAACAGAAAACCAACAGGAAACCACTCATTTTGCAGGGACTTCAGGGACTTCCCCCTATTTTGACACAACCCATGTGCCATTTTAGGGTGCTTGAGGATGTCCGTCTGAATATGCGCGGGTTCTTGGCGGCTTGCACGCATTGATAGGAGGACGAGGAGTCCACTGGGACGATCACGCCTCCGGATGAGAGGCCGCCTCCTGGCAAGGCGCGGAACCTGTGGAGAAGATGGCGCATTTTCTCCCGGTGGATGTGGGTGCCTCGTCTTTTTGGAGGTTGTAAAGGGGAACCAAAAGGAAAGCCGAGGTCATCTTGGGGGGTCCTGTATAAGACGCAACCGCGTGGGCAAGCACAGAGGACCCTAGTCAGAGGTAAGCCCCAAGATAGATCATTTTCCTACAGGGGAAGTGCCCTTAGCAAGTCTTTTGCGGATTAATCCGAGGTTGACATGACGTAGATGTGGGCAAGGGAATCACCAACCAAGCTGCGGGACATGTGCCATCTACCGTTACCCAACTGCGATAGGGGGGGGCCTTCCCCAAAAAGTGCTTGATCCTGAATTCCAATTATGTTCTGCCACTTGTTTCTCCAGTACCCCTTTGCACACTGTGACCTTCCATCAAACCACTACACTCCAAATCAGCTGCACGTGTCCCCAGTTGAAGCTCGTACTTATCCTCGGATTTGAATTGACTCAATGACGATTCCAAATATTAGTAACTTCCACGTACACATGTTCTTTCATGGCATCCTGTTCATATTAATTTAAGGGAAGCCACTAGAAAGAACACTTGCGATCGCCCTTTTTGGACACATAACCATATTGCTTGCAATTGATGTTTGCCCAGCCTTATGAAGCATACCCACATATGGGTCTGTTTTTTGAGGGTGCCCGTTTGGGGGTTGGGAAACCGAAGGCAAACCGAAGCCACGTGGCCCCCGAGTTAGGGCGGGCGAAAGGCTAAGAGGGTTCCTTTTGGGTGCCTTTTTTAGCGGGCCAATTGGGGGGTGTCATTGTGAGGGGCCTTTTGGGCTTCGGTTTTCGTCTTGCCAAAGGCGTAGCAACTCCAAAAAAGACACCCAACCAAGCCAAATGCCATATCTCCCAAATTAAGGAAGCACCTCCCCAAACGACGTGCCACTGAATTCCTCACTCAATTCCTCTCCGGATCCCCTGACATGGACTCGGGCTCAGCTCCGCCGAAAGGTCCGGGCCAAAGCGAGCCCCGCCGATCTAGCCCGGCGGATCTCCGAGGAGCTCCTCGTGGGTTGGTTTTGGCGGGGCGGCCGTTCTTCGGGTGACCTGAAACCCGATAGGAAGCCCAGAAACCTAGACACCCAGTGGGCGCTGGCCGCTTCCTTCTTTCCTTTGGGAATGTTGCTTCCGTGTTGCAACTCTTTTTTTTTTTTGGGGGGGGGGGTTCCCCTTTAGACTCTAAGATCAACCCCAAAGGGGCTTGTTTTTAAAGAGTAATCTAAGCATGCAACGTGGGCTCGGCACAGGTCTGGTCGTGGGGCCCCAAGACCCAAGGAGTCTCAAAAGATGTTTCCTCTTTGTTTTCCGCTGAGTTTCCATGGGTCAGCCAAAAAGTGCCTACAACTATGGAACTGCGGGTCGGAACCTGTTTGACACCTTAAGGTTGACTAAATAAATGGGTTTGCCCAACTTGGGGACCCCACACAATTGTGGATTTCTTTTTGGGTACCGTCAAAAAATCGTAGTTTCAGTTGCAGTTGCGCCGTGCGAAGTGAATAGTCGTTCAGATCATGCTTCATTCTTCAAGAGCCAGGATGCATTCTTCAAGAGGTTGACCCATCCTGGCTGGATGCACCATTGTCTCTCAGTTTCCTTTTTTGAACAAAGCTGCAAAACTCCACAACCCTGGCTGCAATCGGAAGAGGATGCAACAAAAAAAAAATGGAAGAATCCTGACAAGACGCTGGGGTTGCTGTTGCGCTGTCCTTGCTACGAATTCCTTGCGCCTCAGGAGCTGGACCTGGACACGCTGAAGCAGCGTGCCCAGGCGCTCCAAGCGCCGGAGCCGGAGCCGGCTGCTCAGGCTGGGATGATGAGTTCGACTGTTTCTGTTGCATGGGTATCAAAGTTGTCACAACTTTCAACTTAGGAGGTGACTTCGAGAATTGTAAAATAGTTGGGGGCAATACTGTAAGTGGACAAAATTTGCTTCGCACCAATTGAAATGGATGACGCCCTATGATCACTGAAAGTGTGCAAAGCGGATTTGGTTCATCCGAAGTAGGTTTATTTTCCGGCTTGAAAACGCATTGGTTCCGTCGGTTTCGGTCTGGTTCCCTTTTCATTTGCTAGTGCCATATATTTTTGTCCAAAGGACACCAAGGAGAGCTGCGACCTTCTCCTTGGAACTCTTGTTTTTCCCTTGGTCACTCAGTAAACAGACGTAGTAAATACTGTCTGCCAGGTTGTGTTTTGCATGGTTGCAGGAAGCTAGTCGCATGTGTGTATGGGTTTTATGTAGTTATTTTGGGGGCAACCCTGATTTTTCCATGTACCCATACAGGAACAACATGGGTTGAACTAGTCAGACCCTTGTCCCCTTCAAACTGGGCTCTTCTCCCAAACTATTGCTTGATGTTTTCCGGGTGACTCAAGCAACTGGAGGTGTTCAAACAAAACACGGTCAGGTTAATTGTGGGGTCGTAGGGTTTTGCGGTGCCAGACGGCGCGAAGTGGCCTCGGCAGGTCAGCGCCGAGAGCTCCCCTACGGCTGTCCTATCCTCAGCGGGGTCGGCTTTGATGCCATCGTGTGGCATCAAATTACGTGATTTGACTTTGGCGTGTTGTGTTTTGTCTTTCTTTGAGAGGAGGGGTGGGGGTGGGGTTTCTTTTTGCTTTTGTGGGGGCCGGAAGGTCGTTTGTTTGTGGCTCCGGGCGAGTAGTTGGAGGTCTACTGGGATTGTGGGTGCTGGCAATGTGCCTGGGTTCCTTTACCCCGTTCAATGTTCCGTCAACTTCCCTTTTCTGTTTTTTTTTTATTCCAAATGCTTTGCACAGTGTTGCAGGGGTCTAAGGGGCGAACGCGTTTGGTTAAGCGTCCAAACTCACTTGCCCACAGCCATAGCCTAAGCCGACCTGAACTGGCCTGTTGGTGTTCATGTTTGGGCCACCAAAATGTCAAGAAAGTTTGCCCTTTCTTTGCTGCTTTCTGTGCAGGGCTCAAGGTAGTTGATTTCAACAAATATGGAACAAGTAGAAAGCAAGCCCAGAGATAGAAGCAGCCGCGCGTGATTCCTTGGTGGCTTGAAGTTTTAGGTTCTTTCTTGGCCCCATTTTCAAGGGCATAGCAACCACAGCTGGACAACGAGCCCTTTTTCTGCCAGTGAAAAGGGAGACCACCAAAGTGAAAGTCAAAGTTGGATTCCATATCGATTTTGGCGCTCCATCACCCGTTTGAGTGGTTCTTGGAAACTTCCGTTTTTGTTGGGGGGCTCCAACCACCCTACCCTTCCCTGTTCTTTTTTTGGGGGGGAGTTCTGGGCACGTAGACTGAACCATGTTACCCTTCCAAAGGAGCCGGCCCGCTCGGGTCCCAGAAAATGGCCCCCAGGCATCCTTACCCTTTGGACCCTTTGGGGTGCAAGATTTGTTCGTGCTTAGACTAAACATGGAGCAACCAATATGACTTTCTGTGCCTGCCGTGGTCTTTGTGGCTGCCAAGTTTGAAGGCTGGTTCCCGTTCTGCCAGGAACATGTCGCTTCCTTCTCGTACAGACTGGCATCGACCAGGTCTTTTTGGGTGTGGCTTTTTGTTAGGAGGACACCCCCAGACGGTGGGTTTTCTTTGGTTTCCCTTTAAGCCAACCCTAAGAAAGGTACCCCCAAAAAAACCAGACCTTTTTCTCGTGGCAAACAAGCTTGGGGCTGCCCGTGAAGCTGAAGGGAACCAGCTGCGTCGCGATGCACCAAACATGGGGGACGATTGGTTGCGTGATCAGCTTTGACCACGTGGGAGTTGTGGTTGGGAATGTGCCCTACCAGGGGCGGGGGGGGGGGGGAGGGGGGGAGCTCAAAACTTTGGCCCACTCGTTGTGACACTCCAGGCGACAAGGCGCAGTCTATGCTAACCCAAAGGCAACAAAAGAAGAAGAAGAAGAAGAAGCAAACATAAGCAAATGTTTCAAACGAGTCACGTTCCAAGGTGCAAACGAGTCACGTGTATCCAGCCCAGTGGCTGCGCTTCAGGACCCGGAGGCCTTGGCGCGGCAGCGTGCGCAGGCGGCCGCCTCGGCGGTGCAGGCGGTGGCCCAGGCGCGAACTGCCAGACATCGACCGCGGGCAACCCGGAGGAGACCCGGAGAAAACGCGGAGAAAACCCGGAGGACCTCATATTTGTTGCATGGAAGTCTCATAAGTGGTTGGACATGAATCCCCGCCCAAATGATGTCGGGCTCCTGATTTAACCCCACACCACGTCCATTTCCCAAGGGGAGACCTGCGTTAATCTAAGCGGCGGGGTTTGGATTGTCTTACAGAAAGGGGGGTTGTAATACAAACTAATCAAAGGGCACTTCCCCTTTTTAAGTTCTTTTGAAGTGCCCTTTGATTCTTTTTGGGGACTACACAAAATCCCAATCCAAATGTGCCCTTCAGCATGATACAGTCGTCATAGTGAATAGCTCATTTTGTATATAACTTTGATGCTTAGAACTTCCTCAAATATTGTTGGTGGCTATACATGCAGCCAAGTCTCTCCGTTGTCCATCAAGCACTCCAAGTCACATTCCGCCACCCTACCAGATTGGCTGCCCAGCCTTTCCTTGCGGTTCCACGGGGCAGGTTTGCGGAGACAGGGTACTCCCAAGCGACCGCGTGAAGATTTTCATGGACCCCTCCGGCGCAAATCACATTATTCCAACCTTCTTGTGGGGGTGGGATCTCCGTTAAAAAAAACAAAAAACATGGGGCTGACTCGAGCAACTCTGGCCCTGCGAGCCTGGCTTCCAGGCCTGCAAAGCATTGGACCCCATCCAGCACACTGATGAGGCAGGTTGGACGGCACACGAAGGCTCCAAAGGTCAACATTTGGCGGGTGTCCTCCAAAGATTCCATCATCCACTGTTTGTGGGTAGTTCTGCTCAGGGGGGTTGTCCAGTCATTGTGGTTGTGTCCATGTTTGGCAAACCAAATCCCACGCCGATCTTTTGGGAAATATCTACCCGGTCCTGCTGAAGGCTTGCCCAAGTGCGTCAAACACATTTCCGGACTTGCGGATTCGGTGGCGCGAAAGACAGCCGCCAAAATTCGGATGCAACCAGGGGGACAGGCCACAAATTGTCCCTTGTAGAACGGTGTTACTCTGCAAGGGCCCCATGTCTCCGTTCGGACCCAAACGCGCACCAATTCCGAGATATGGGGTTGTCTCAAAATGACCCACAAAATGGTTTGTCTCCCTTTTGTGTCCTGTAAAACCAAAAGGGGGTTCCGAAGAAAAAGCACACACCAGGACACAACCATGTAGCTCGGCCACTCACATGAAGAGGTCGGGTATTCTTATGTGTTGTGCGCATGTGTGAACTTGACAAATATTGAGTTTGGAACACACTATTGTTTGCCAAGACAATGCCCAACATTCAATGCGAAATGCACTCGAATTGTCATAGCTACATGCCCCAATCTAGCAAGATGTCTTGCTCCATTCTGTTTTTCCTGTTTTGGGCCTAACTAAGTCTGCCGAACAAAAAGCTGCTTACCGAAGAAAGCGAACTCTTTCTTCTGCCAAGGAAGCGATGCCCTATGGAAGACCCCAAGCCATGGCAAAAGCCTGGCGTGGGACCATGTGGGGGGTGTCTTAAATAGGGGACCCCCAAAATGGTAAAAACCACTCCAAAACGGGGGTACCACGAGTGCACGGAGATGTGTCCGGGAGCCATTCCAAGAGATGTTCGAAGGTTTGGCTCGACCCCTCCCAAGTCGGGGTGTGTCTTGGAGCCCGGGTTCCTTGAGCCCGAGAACCTTACGCGTCCTTTTTTCCCCGTCTTCTCGAAATGGATTTCGGACCCCCTTTGAGCTGGCATTCAAACGGAACCAACATGAAACAAAGCACTTTAGGGGGCCCTAGTCTGCGAAATATCCAGAAAAAGCCAGTGGCCCTCCCCTTTTCTCCAGGTTCCGCTCGGCACAAGGCGCGGCCCAGGTGCAAAATTGTGTCCGCAGTATCATTGCCAGACTTCACTTATCTTTTGCCCTTTTTGCGAGGCAAGATGGAACCCGCAACAAGGCAAGCTCTTATCATCCAACCACCCCTACCTGAAAAATCAGGGTTCAAGGGTCCCCCCCCTACCACCCACGGTTTGTTTGATGTGTTTTTGTTGTGCTTGCATCGTGCTAACTTACGCCTTGACAGTATCTTAGTGCATCCCTTGCTACCGGGCGGCCGACGGTCTCGGCACCTGTTCTCGGCAAGAAAATCAAGAAACATCACTGGGTGCTAGATAGCATGTCGCATTCCCACGTGTGGAAATAATTCTCACCTTGAAGGCGTGCGCACGAGAGGATGCGGCGCCCAAAGGAAAAAAACAAGTGGACGGATCATTTGTTTGTTTGTCTCCAGACCCCCTGCTAAGCAGATAAAAGCCAAGGGACCCAAAACGGGTTCCAGTACACAAGGTTCCAGTTTGCGCTAAAGGACAATCATTTGTTTAGCATCCTAGAACCCATTGGAGCCCATTTCAGGTCACTCAAAAAGGAGATCTCTCATTTCCAGAGGCTATGTTTTCGGAGTGAGCGCTTTGTAGATTTGCGGCCGTTTTGGGGAGAGCGGCCAACGGAACTCCCGCGCTGTTTCCCTATAAGTTCAGTATTCGATCAATTTTAAGACCAGCTGTTTCATCGGTGTGCGATGGTCTGCTGGAGAGGTGACGAAACATCACCTTTTGGAACATCACCTCTTCAGCCGTTCTTCTTTTCAATCTGTTTATCGCAAGAAGGATCTCGGTTGAAAGTTATACCCCATCCTTCTCAACCATGGTTCTTGTACACAAAAACGGCCGGTTTCCGAGCGGTCTTGATGGTTGTCAAGCCAGAACGGAGGAGTTGCCGCTTTGGCCGTGTGGGTCGCCGTTTTTTGTTCTTCCTTCGGAGTTCGGCATTCGGCGCCTTCGATTCCAGCTGCGAGCCGGAGCTCGAGCGTCGCGGTGAGCCGAAGCCGAAGGAAGAGGCGGGAAGTCGTGGGCTCCTGATGTCAGGGTCTAAACAATTGGAACGAGGTTGGGGTACTTTTGAACCAAATTCCGTCAGGATAGCACAAAAATCGAGACCTCGAGACCACCTAGTTGTGGGTCTAAGGCCTTCAGCATAGCCAAAAGGCTAGGAAGATGTAGCCTTTCTAGGCCACCTTTGGCCTCTCGCAAATGGCTGTGAAGAGTTGCGGATCGATTTTTGGCCACTTTCTCTACCAAACATCGCACCTTCAGACAACCTTTGGCGAAATACAAACCATATTCCTTTCTAAGAAGGTGCCTGGCAAATTTGGGATGTAAGAAAACGAGTTTGAAGTTTCCCACGTCTCCAACAGGGGATTCCAATGAAAGCTGAACATGTTCAGACCAAAGGACCCACGATGACCCACCTAAACACCAAAGGGCCCCCGAAGAGGTACGGTGCAATACGGTGCACATAAACCTTATGAAGGCAAAATATCAGCTCTTGACTACCGGCTCTTGACTACCAGCTCTTGACTAAGGCTTCTTTGTGGGGGGTTGTGGAGTTCTTGAAGGAAACCGACAGGCTTTGGGATCCTCGTTCGGAAACATATTGAGAAAACTCTCAAACCTTCTTCTCACAGTTAAAATTACTTGCAGCCAGATCCGGAGAATCGATCCGGAACTTGGATGCTGTTCGTCCGAGTACAGGAGAAACCTGTGAAAAGCCTAACTTCCTACAGATTCTGCCGACCAGGCAACTGCTCGGCATTTTTGTTGCTGCAGTGTGCTTTTCAGGTATGCTGTACCCCTTCAGGTGGAGAATTCATTGGGGATGTCGAGAGGCTTCACAGATATATGATTCCCACCTCGCAACAGCGCAGCCTGAGCTTTGGTTTGCGACTGATGTTTCCCTGCGTTGGAGGGTCCTTAGAGGTGTCAACCCTCCCCACCCCCGGTGACATCTCAAGGAGAACCTCCGTTGCTCGTTCGGCTAGTGGTTTTTGGCAGACGCAGTGTTCAGTGAGTGACACTTCGGGTCAAACAAAATGCCCCGAGGGGCTCGAGGAAACCAGCAGCTTCCAGATCCGAGTTAGCCCTATACAATTGACCCCGAATTGTCGAGCCCTCAATCGGGGGAGTGTTCCCCTCCAATAGTCTAAAGTGATGAAACCCCACTAAACAAGCGGTACCCCCTATCTGGAAGTGAGTAGTGGATAATCAGCAATTTTCCCATTGGGGTCGCCTGACGTGCGCTATTTGAATTTGGCAGTTCAAGCCACTTCAGCCACTTCAAGTGGATCCAAGTGGCTCCAAGTGGCGCGTGCCGCTTCAAGTGGCTCTAAGTGGCTCCAAGTGGCACGCGCCGCTTCAAGTGGCTCCAAGTGGCTCCATGTGGCTCCAAGTGGTGCATGCCGCTTCAAGTGGCTCTAAGTGGCTCCAAGTGGCATGTGCCGCTTCAAGTGGCTCCAAGTGGCTCCAAGTGGCACGTTCTGTTTCAAGTGGCTCCAAGTGGCTCCAAATGGCTCCAAGTGGCTCTTGTCCAAGCGGCACGCGCCTTTCAATTTGCTCCAAGTATCCTACGGCTCTTCAAGTGGATCCAAGTAGACATGACGTAAAGGGCCCCCTTCCTAACAGGGTCCTCCCCCAAAGGCCCCAGCTGCAGAGTCGTTTCGGAAGACGTCCAAAAGTGTCCGATTCTGTTTTTTTGAGAGTTGGCGTGCCCACTTTCACTGGTCATTCACGCTCAAATGGAACTGTGTCGCGTGGAAATGGGGTCGCTTCACGCTTTGTCACGCTCCAATTTTTGAACGGACGGTGTTGCACTTCAGGCCTTGTCATGATAACACAGCCTTATCAAACACCCACAAACACTCTTCATGAACAGCAAGTACAGTTATAGGGACGAGCCGGCTCAAGGAGACTTTCCATACAGCCCCAAGCTTATGCAACCGTTGAGGGTCTCTGATGGACAACCCTACTTCTTTCGACAGACCCCGCTAGGAAGGGTCGTTCGAGGTTTCGAGATATGAATAGAGGGATATACATCCAACTGCATGTGCTGGGCACAACAGTCGCCCACTCAGCCCATGGCGTCCGCGCCCTCCGGCCGTGGCTGGCCGTGTCGGGGCGAATGCGGCGGGAAGCTCTCAGGCCGAGGCGGGGTCGCGAAGTGGATACTCATACCTAGTAAATGGGGAGCACTCACGGCTATACCCGCCTAGCGGGGCTGCAAGTAGCTCCTGTCATTTGGGCTGCCTGAGGTTAGCAAGTCGGCTCACTTACCAAGTAGCCTGCTTCTTCAAGAAGGGGTCAAGTCTGTGGCAAAGAGCAAGCTGTCTCCAACTTCCTGCAAAATGCCACTAAACGAACCTGCTTGTTGTTTGGGCGCTGCCTGTGATAGCTGCAGGGTAGGCTGTTGAGATTGCAGATAGTGTCGTCACTGGAGACAATGAGCCGTATCAAAAAGGAATATCTCCTGGTCGCTCTGCCATGACTGTTTGGTCCTTTCTGTGAGCGCTTGGCTGTTTTCCTGCTGTGTTCATGCGAGCCGTTTGACCTGACAGCAGCCCTCGAGCACTCAAGTGATTCCAAGTCTCTGCAGACCACTGACCCAGAGAAGAAAGTGGCTAACTGCAGCACGTTGGCCATTACAACAAGCTGGCACCGGAGACTACCGACGGGTGCCTCCTGAATCCACTACCTCATGAAATACCTAGGCGACCTCATGCTGTACGACCTCATGAAGTACCTGCGCAACCTCATGAAGTACCTGTGCGACCTCATGAAGCACCTGTACGACCTTATGCTGTCACCTATAGTCTACCTCATGAACTACCACCACAACATCACCTTCTACATCCTCCACCTCATGAAGTACCTGTACGACCTCATGATGTATGACCTCATGAAGTACCTGTACGACCTTATGCTATTCCACTATACCACCTCATGAAGTACCTCTACGACCTCATGCTGCACGACCTCATGAAGCACCTGTACGACCTCATGCTGTACCACCTCATGGTCTGCCTCATGGACTACCACCACAACATCACCTTCTACATCCCCACATCCACTTCCTCATGAAGTACCTGTACGACCTCATGATGTATGACCTCATGAAGTACCTGTACGACCTTATGCTATACCATTTCATGAAGTACCTGTACGACCGACCTCATGAAGTACCTGTACGACCTCATGCATCTGCTGCTGCATTCCCTCGGGGCGCAAATGGGCGCAAACAAAAAAGCCGAGTTTTTGGAGTTCGTCGTAAAACTCGGTTTTTTTATTTGCTGCTTCGGCAGCAGCCTTGACGCCTAGTTTCCCCGTCCCCGCGAAACCTAACTACGAGCCCAGGACCTATCCACGCTTGTACTTTCCACTCATTTTCGCAGACTTCGAGCCGCACGGGGAGGTCAAACATCGCTGAGCAATTTCCCGGACCTATCCACGCTTGTGCTTTCCACTCAGTTTCACAGATTTCGAGCCGCACGGGGAGGTCGATGTCGTTGTCGTTGTCGTTCTTGTTGTTGCTGCTGCTGCTGCTGAGCCAGCAACTGCCTGTCGAAAAGGGGATACGTGATGCGGCTCCCACAGGCTCACCGCCTGTGCAACCGGACGGGCAGGCTGGCTGTTGTTGCTGTTGTTGTTTTGTCTGGCCGGCAGCTGCCTGTCGAAAAGGGGATACGTGATGCAGTTCCCACAGGCTCACCGCCTGTGCAACCGGACGGGCAGGCTGGCTTCGTCCGTCTGGTGATTCTTGTCGATGTTGTTGCTGTTGTTGTTGCTGTTGCTGTGTCCCATTGGGCGCAAAATGGCGCAAAATGGCGGGCTGCCAGTAGCCGCCTTTCTGGCTGTATCGCACGCGCCTGCCTCTTCCCAAGGCTTGTGCTCACCCCATACCTGGCCGCGCCTAAAAACAAATTGTTTCGGCCCGAAAATCGTTTTTGCGTCGTCTCTGGCTGCCTCGCTCGCGCCCGCCTCTTCACCCCAAGCCTGGCGGTGTCAAAAAAGAATTCGTTTTGCGCGACAGGTCCGAGATTCGAGCCTCCAAATTTTCCCGCGGGACAAAGCTGAGTCCGACGCATTCGCCGCTGAACCAAGGCCGGCTTGCTCACAAGCGGGGCTGAAAGCCGCCTTTTCCCGTCTGGCCGCTCGGTCTTCAAAATCCGGCTGGGCCAAAAACAATTTATTTCGCCCCGAAAAAATGTTTTTCCGGGGGGTCAGCTCCAGGTTGCCCTGGCAGCCCGCCTAGGCTGCCCAAGCCCGAGGGTGTGGTCTATCCACGACTGCCTTTCCAAGTTCAATGTGTGTCTTGTCACCCATTACCGTTTCAAACCTATCCATGCACGGCTTCGTCTTGCTGTCCACCCACGACGTTCTATTTGCACTTTCCCGTCCTCACATGGAAGTGCGAATCCAGGTGCAAATCTCATCAGTTTAGGTGCAAATCTCATCAGTTTAGGTGCAAAAAACAAGAGATGCAATCTCATTAGTTTAGGTGCAAATCCCATCAGTTTAGGTGCAGGGGCTCTCAGACCAAATCTCAAAGATGTCCAGAATCCCTTTTTTCAAAGCCCTGCAAGACCTTTGGGCAAAGACGTCCAGAAAAGGGCAAATCCCATCACCTTTGGGCAAAGACGTCCAGAATCCCTTGTTTCAAAGCCCTGGAAGGGCAAATCCCATCACCTTTGGGCAAGGACTAGACGTCTCCTTTTCAGAGCCCCTTGAGGGGGCAAATCCAGGTCTGGGCCATTTCTGTCTCGAATTGAAGCTCAGAAGCTCTAGAAGCGATGGCGTCTTCTCCGGACCATTACCGTTTCAAACCTATCCATGCACGGCTTCGTCTTGCTGTCCACCCACGACGTTCTATTTGCACTTTCCCGTCCTCACGTGGAAGTGCGAATCCAGGTGCAAATCTCATCAGTTTAGGTGCAAATCTCATCAGTTTAGGTGCAAATCTCATCAGTTTAGGTGCAAATCCCATCAGTTTAGGTGCAGGGGCCCTCAG